CGGCGATCAAAGATGAAGCTGGCAGGTCTTGACTGCAGGGAAGCCACCATGAGTCGGATGCAAAAGTGCAGGGCGGGGGAGGGGAGGTGCTGAGCAAGTGCAGACTCGCTGTCACTCAGCAGATCCTCAAGCACAGCAGCCCCACTGGACCAAGTGGGACGGTCCCTGTGGGTTTCTGGGACAGTAACGCTTTAAAGACAGGAGCAGGCAGCCTCCTCTTTCTCCCGAGGAGCAACTGGTGGGTTTCGATTGCTGGCTTCGCGATTAGCAGCAGCCCAATGCTTACCCCAGATGCTGACCAGAAACACTGGGTGGTTTTAAGCAGCAAGTGGGAATATAGGACCTATGAAAGGGACCCCAAAGGGTAGAGCAGCACTTTACGGTGGCCTCGGAGTGGGACGGAGGTGAACACCCACTGAAGGCAGTGGTTTTGGGGGGCAACAATGAAAGGACTGTGGACTGTGAGGTGCCCTTGAGTTGGTTCCACCTCATAACTGGCCAACGCACAATAGAAGGAAACCCCGCCGGTCCCGCACCGTCCTCACAACTGTGTCCATCCACCTTGTCAAACATCTTTCTCCAGGGACTGGTCTCTCCTGACATGTCCAAAGCGTGTGAGACAAAGCCTCGCCACCTTGCCATCCTGGCCTCAAAAGAGCATTCTGGCTGAGTTGTTTCGAACTAAAACCCAGGGATTTGGTTGCGAGAGTTTCATGACGAGTGGGAGGCAGGCTTGGAAAGCAGCGAGCTGGGACTGCAAGAACTCCGGAACCGAGCAACAGGGCCGATGCCAACAACTGCCGCTGACCTGAGGAGAACTGCCACCCCTGCCCCGGGGGCAAGCTAAATGACCCGGAGGCTTCCACAGGTGGAGTGGTGACTGTCACTCACAAAGTGACCTGGTCGCCCAAGTCAGTCATCAGCTGAAGAGAGCTTTATGACTTGTGCATTTTCATGTTTGTATTTTATTATACCCGTAAGTTTACAGGTGATGTTTCCAACCACCAAAAGGCAAATCAAGATCAGCTTTAAAAGACACTGACCGAAGGTCGCTGGGTTAATCTTTCACGAGCACGGATCAGCAATATGCACTAGTGATGACTGGTCAGGAGGCTAATGGAGTGGCCCCTAGGAAGGAGTATTTGTGTTAGGGTAGTTGGCAGAGAGGAGGTGAGGCCAGTGTGACAAATGTTTGAGAGTTTATCTTAAAGCAGACTGGCCTGGCCCTTAAGGTGAAGGAAGAGCTGAAGGAATGAAGCTGGCCCTCTGGGAGGATAGCTCATTGGGGAAGGCGGGGGGCGGGCGGGAGGAGCAGAGACACAGAATGAGTTACCATCATTCTGGATACATTAAGAAGTTGTTCCTATCACTGGGGGCAATTTCTTTGCTTTCCTTCAAATAGACTTGTTTTTAGTTCAAAACAGAGAAAATAATAAGGTCTGGCATTTTCCCAGGAAAGTTTTCACCTAAAAATAGGGAACAAAAGCAGGAAAGACGAGAGATTACTTAAAAACAATCTAAGTGGCCTCCAATCTAATACAGATGGCTCATCTGGCAAGGGCTGGGCCTGTGTGCAAACAGAACACACTTGAAAACATCCATCTTGTAAGGGATGAGCTACTTCTAGGGTTTAGTTTTTTATAGAAGCCCATGTGGGGCAGGCTGCCTTCCAGGGTAGCAGTGGGGTGGTAGCTGGGAGGCTGGGCTCTACAGCCAGGCAGCTTCTAACATCTTCTAAATGGCTCTCTGCCACGCCCAACCATCTGTTCTAAGACCAAGTACCCAATGGAGGAAGGGGGGAGAAAGAATGCAAGTCTCCTACTTTTAAGCCCATTCAAAGTTAGTTAACACTGCTAAGTATCTCTAAAACCTTGCTCATTGTTTGCCCCGTTCTCCAATAATCTGAAACTAAACATGACATCACAGCACCCCCTTCTGGTAACACGGTTGAAATGCTATTACAGGATTATGTGCAGGCAGACGGCTCTCTTCTTAGGACTCCAATACATTGTTAGCAGGCAGACACCATTTCCTGGTTAGGGCACTAATTGCGTGCAGGCAGGGCCCAGGGAAGGCTGGGAAAGAGGCTGCCTATTCCCCCCAGAAGACAGGGCAGGTTTCCCTCAGCCGGTAGGCATTTTATTGAGGAGGGAGGGAGGGAGGGAGAGCGTTTGAGTGCCAGCAGTGCTGTGTGCCCACAGGCTCTGTGGTACCTAGTTAGGCAGAGTGAAGTGGGTGAATGGGGCAAGGGAAACATTAAGCCAAAGAAACAGCACAAAAGCTGAGATCACCCCAACGGCTCAGGGGACGCAGGTGGCTCCTTGTGGTGCAAGCAGCACAGCGGGGTGGGCGGGTCAGCAGAAAAGCCAAGGTTGTGTACACAAAGTGACAGAGTGGAAACTCTTCCTCAAAGGCTACTAGGAATGCTTTTTCAGGAACTGGGGGTCCCAGTCCAATCTACCTTTAGAAAAATGGTTTTCCTTTGATGTCCCTTGAAGTCACTGGTATTCCACAAGCGGAATGAAACGGTTTATCATTACCTTTTAAACTCATCGTGGTAGAACTCAGACTTGCAGGTCACCATCTCGCTCCCCTGGATGTCCTCACGACTTCGCACACCCCCAAATACGTAGAGCTCCATGGCCACGCCGCAGGCGACAGCTCCAAACCTGGAAGGACATCAGGCATTATGAGCCTTACTGCTAGCTCACGCAAGTGTGCAGTCGGTGAGCCTCCCTTTTCCAAATGGATTGCTCACTTCATTTGATGCAAATCCACAGGCCAGGTCAAATAAAGGGTCCAGTTTGAAGGAATGAGCCCTGGTGCCATGGTGGGTTGAAAATCAAAGTGTCAGTGGTTCAAGCCCACTCGTCACTCCATGGGAGAAAACTAAGGTTCTCTGCTTCCAGAAAGATTTCCAGTCCTGGGAGTCCTATGAAGCCGCCCCACTGTCCTACAGGGTGGCTGGGGTGGAAAACATCTTGCAGGTTCACCTGCTCTGGAGGCAGTGGATGAAGGGGAGGCAGGCACAATCCAAGAAAGGCCCAGCTATTCATTATGAAGTTATGAATTAAGTCAAATATAAGTTATGAATTAGCCACTGGAATCAATTCTGGCTCAGTGATCCTATAGGGCAGGGGTGGGGAACACCTGGCCTGTGGGCTGCATAAGGCCCACAGGATCATCCAAGAGAAGCACTTGCAGCCACTTCCAGAGCACACTGGATGTACCGTGTAGGATGAAGGAAAACAAGACCCATCCCATCACTGTGTCCCTACAAGGAGTAACAGAGGTGCCTGGTTTAGACTCCTCTAAGCATTGGACGTAACATTTCTATCTTCAAAAGACACAGAGACCTTTAGTTTAGATGTTTCGGGGGTTAAGGGGCTTCAGTCCACTGAGTACTGAAGGACTCCATGCCCAGACACTCACCTCCTCTCCTTCAGTGGGCAGATGGCCGTCCACTGCTGGGTCCTTGGGTCATAGCACTCCACAGACTCAAACAGCTTTCCGTATGAGCCTCCACCCATGGCGTAGATTTTCTTTTTCATAGCTGCATAGCAGCCTATCTGAGAGGGGGAAGCATAGACAAACGGACATGCACTCATCCGAGCGAGCACTGGAAGACGATGAACCACAGGAGGACAATGGTGCTTCCCAATATTAAACCACAGGATGATAAAGAGGAAGCCTGAGGCAACCCAGACATTGTTGACCCCCAGGTAAGGACCTTCTCCTCCTCCTTCCAGTATGATGGCACTAGGTGAGACAGGTAAACGCCACGCATCGAGCTTTCCAGTCTATTTCCCCATCACTCCAAGATGGCTCAAGATGACTTTGATTCCGAGGAATGAGATGTCACTCAATTCCTGCAATCCTCAACAACTCAGCAGGAGGACCACGTACAATGGGTGTATCCCAGTGCCTCTAAAGGCCAAACACATCATTCCCACCTGGGCATAAAACCCGAGAGGTCAGGCAACCACACCTGATTACCTAACGTGAGCCCTGCGTTTTCACTCTAGCCCAAACCAGACTTGTTGTGGCCAAGAGGAACCGATGCACAGTGAGCCTACAGTACAGAGGGGGCTGTTCCACAGGGTTTCCGAGGCTGTAGGTTTTTACAGAGGCAGCCTGCCTCACCGTTCTCCCTTGGAGGGGGCTGGTGTTCAAACAGCTGACCTTCCGGTGAGTGGCTGAGGGTTTCAGCCGCTATACTGCCAGCATGCCCTGTTTTCACTCTAGTCTGTCGATTCATTCCTGTTCCTCACTGTGAGAGGGTTGCTTTAGAACATGTGCTTCCACACTAGCCAAGTGCACTCAGCATTCAGCAGTTACCAGACAGAGTGCCGGGGCTGAGGCCAGTACACTCCCTGCTCCCGTCTGGGCGCGTGCCTGCCAGGCTTTCTGAGCACTGTTCCAGACCACTCTACCCTCCAGCCGCCACAGGACCCAGGCCTCACCTTTCGAACCATGGTCAGATCAGGTTGCTTGGTCCAGGTCTTCGAGTAAATATCGTAGCACTCCATGGAGATGAGCTCCCTCTCGCCGTCCTCACCGCCCAGAATGTACAGCATCCCGTCTATCTCCACGATGCCAAAGTTATGTCGGGCCTGAAAGGACACCGGAGAACTGTGCAGACACGAGGCTGCCTGTCACCCGACAGCCGATGCACACAATGTGGCTGCTGTCGCTGGGCCCCACGGAGCTGACCCCGGCACATGATGACCCCACATGCTACGAAGCACAAGTGCTCCAGAGGTGCTTTTGCAGACTGTAGAATCAAACACAACCAGACGGTGCTTTACCTCATTCATGGGTGGCAGCGCAGACCACGTGTTTAAATCCGGATCGTACTTTTCTCCCGAGTTCAGCGTCTGCTTGTTCTCATCTTGACCGCCGAACACAAACAGAAATCCTTCTGTAAAGATCAGGAGAGACACTGAGCCCCGTTTGAGGGAAGGAGCACCTGAGGATGGCTCTCTTGTACGCAGGGACCCTTCTCTGGATGGGGCCCCTTCTCGCATGCCAAGCTTCCCCTGGTCCCAGAGCACCACTCACTCTGGGCACCTCTGTGCCTCAACCCCCCGCTGCTGCCGCTGCGAACCCCGTGTGGTCTCTGAACCCGGCCCACGTCTGTTTGCTCTAGGCCCCAGGAATGGGGACAGTTGTGGGGCCTCCACCTTCCTGCAGGGTCTAAGCGCCACTGTGTCCTTCCTACTCGGCAGAACGGTGGATGAGGTCACTGTACACACCCCTAGATTCCTGGAACAACCCTCTAGGTCAAACAAAGCCTCTCTCAGATCCCGTTAGTGGGCACCTAGAGAAACCAGGAAAGGATCCCAGCAGGATTGCTGACACTTGTGGGATCAAGTCAAGGGAAGGCCTGGGGAGGAGAAAGGCAGCACCCACCACCTTCCCTGGGAGCATGGACACGTGGGCAGCTTTCACACCTGTCAAGGTCAGGGGAATCCAGCTCTTTTCTTCCCCAGCATGGTAACTTTTTCCAGGTGCTGTCGCATGAACCTAACTCATGGCGCCCTGTGTGTCAGGGAGAGCTGGGCTCTCCAGGGCTTCAGGAGCTGATTTTTTCAGGAGATTGCCAGGACTTCCTTATGAGATGCCTCCGGAAGGGCTCAAACTGGCAGCCCGGCGCGTTAGCCACCGTGCTCCCCGAAGACAAGAGAACTCTGAGCCACTGAGAATCTAAGCTAGTATTTTCTGACATCTATGAAAGGTCTGCTTTGGCCCTAACACTGTCATGTCTGATAGAAGAACATACTGCAACCCTAAATTCCACATATAGTACATTCTAAATTCCAAGCCTCAATTTCAAAGACAGGAATACCGCGGCTTGAAGAAAGGGTATGCTCCAAGTCTGCTCACGGAGTTTCTTGCTGGTAAAAACCCACTGAATTTCGTTCTTTTCTCTTTAGTGAAACCCCCCCATGAACGCTTCGGGAACAGCAGGGACAGCTCTCCCTCCGGCATCCTGAGAGCCAGCCCGGCTGAAGGCCATGGTACAGCGACCACCAGGCCCTTCCCCAAGCCCTGGGTCAGACGTGGTATGGGGTCCAAGGCGCCAGGGCAGCCTACCTGCCGAGAGGACGCCGTGGTTGATTCTTGGCATACTGAGCGGCGCCAGCTCGATCCACAGCTGCCTGTTGGGGTCATAGAGGGGGCACATGCACCGCATGGCGGCCGTGGGCTTCCGTGACACTCGTTCTTCTCCACCGACGGTCACGATGCACTCAGAGTAGCCCCGCGGCTTGAAGTTGGCAAGCATGGCCTCGCCCTGCTGCGGCTGGCTCAGAGGAATGTTGCTGCACTCCTTGACGATCTCCCGCACCAGGGGCTCGTTCAGCATCTGCTCCCGCAGGTAACTGGAATCCAACCCTGAGACCCAGAGGGCGGACATGACGTCCCTCATGTGGACCTGCAGAGCGGGGGAGGGGCAGACACACGTAGCTTTCAGCACATGCACGGCCCCAGACTGGCGCACATCCCATTCCACTGTGCTTTCTAGAAGCTTCGTGAAGAAAACCATCAGTCTGGATTTACAGGGGGAGGCATCAGAAAGTGTGGGGGAAAATTCCATCATCTTTTCACTCATTTCTTCTACGATCTCTCTGCCATCCCCTCGTATTTGACCTGCCGCCGTCCTGTTCCACAGCTCTCTCAGAGGCCGACGGGCTCCCCGAGCAGATGGGACACAGAGGAAACGTCGCTCTAATTCACATGAGGTCATGTATTTGGATGCCTAATGGGTTAAACTATGTGTATAGGAATTGTAAACCATGTGTATACTGTATGTGCAATGACATATAGTAATAGCTAGATGCAGTATGATCAACTTAATAACAGAAAAGTCTCAAAAGTAAGCATATGAGGAAAATATAGAAAGTCCAGAGCTCCTAGTGCACTACAGTATCATTTCTGCAATAGCTAATGCTCAACACTCTGCACATGTAGAAGGTGAGGCTCAACATGTAAAGTGTAACTAACATGTATAACGTGACCCTCTAACACATGACATGACCTCTAACATGCAGAGAACATAACCATCTAACATGTAGGATGTGACCCTCTAACAGGTATGACAAGACCTTCTAACATGTAAAATACAACTAACATGCAGAATGTGACCCTCGGACATGTAGAACATGATCCCCTGACATATTAGGAATGCGAACCTCTTAAAATGTAGAACGTGACCCGCATCCTCCTGCTGCTCCATCACTAAATGGGAACCAACCGACTGCGCTTTCCGCACCCCTCAGGTGGAGCTCTTTACACATGAACGTCCCGGACCGACACCACCAGGAGATTTTTCTCCTTCTGCGACAGTCACTGTGAGCCCCACTCTTCCAAATGTGCAGTGACAAAAGCCAACAGGTGTCAACGGCATCAAGTTCAGGCCAATCAGAGGGCTGAGAGCTGCCTTTTGTTTCCCTGCAACCAGATGACCCCAGCATCCTGGTCACTTGGAGGCAGGAGGAAGTTAGAAGCCGGAGCTGCAATATCATTATACATTTTGAAGCTACCCTCTAATTTTAAGGTAGTAGCAGTCACCAGTCCCTTATTTATAAGACGAGGCTGACAGTCCTGTTACTTGGCTCCCTCCTCCAGCGTTCTACTCAGCTGGGTCTAAGACCTGGCTTTCCGTCCCCAGGCCCTCACTGCCTGACTGTTGCTCTTGGAACGGCACTGTGTAGCCTAGTGCTGCCTACACACCCCGCCCCCGGATGACGAGATGGGAGGGAGTGCTCCAGGTGGGATCCCAGACTTGGTAGCAACTCACCATTCACAACTCTCACCACTTGCCACCCTCTGGGCCTGTTGCCCCCGAGAATCCCCACAGGAGTAACGCAACCATGTGGGGGAAGGAGGTGCTAAAGTAAGGGTAGGGCCCCAGCAGCTGTGCAACCTCCACCGGAAGCGGAGTAGGTCTCGCCCCAGGGTAAGCAGCAGAGGGAAGGGCACGCTTCTTCAGATGAGAGTGTCTCTGCAGCTGTCCTATGAGCCAAGTGGGCTTGGGTGAGCCGGCCCGGACACCCGACCTTTTAACGATCCGATGGGAAGATGTTTCACAGACCACCATGCAAAGCGGAGTTGAAGCAGCAAGGTGAAGCAGCGTAATGTACACAAAAAAGCACATTCTGGAAAGGACACAGGGACACCATCTCCTGGGTGGTACGTACCTTTCTGAGTTCTGGGTCATGCGCTATCCAACGAATTACTGCTTCAAACACATATCTTTCGTTGCCGACGTTTAACTTCTCCAGGGACACCACCTCTTTCAGCTTCTGAGGACTCAGTTCCAGGAATTCTTCGGTGCTGCTGACATCCCGGAAGTGCGTTTCCAGGTACTCGGTGGCCAGGTAGTGGACGTGGTGCAGGCAGTAGTGCAGGGCAAAGTCCCGGATCCCGATGCAGTTCTCAGCAGCGATACAGCCTTCCAGAAACTCGCAGCACAGGGTCTTCAGGTCCGTCAGCAGCAGCAGGTCGGCCGCCTGCACAACGTCTTGGATGGTGTCTTCGTTGAGCCGGATCTGTAAGGGCGTCAGAAACACATAGCAATGTGTGGAACTGAAAACCCAAACTGGGACTTACTGGCTGAGCCAGACACAGTATCCAGTTGGACAGGCTGGCGATGACCACATGTGGGCTACTTCATGGGGTTCCACCTTTCCCAGGAAGCAGCTCAGGGCACCCAGCCACCTCAAAGAACAGCTCTTCCCTGATAGATCTACGTCATCTCCTCATTGCCCTCCCAGGGCAAAGTGTCTGTGATGCTCACTGTTAACTAAAAAAAGTTGTCAACAATCGGAATGCTTGGGGAATGGAAAGTTTTGGACTCGGTGGCAATCTGAAAATACGATTTGAAACCTTAACACCTGAACCACTGAAAGCCTCACCTCTGAGTGCATGCAGATGCCCTTCTGTCTTGGTAAGACAACGCTACGGTAGCCTGCTGCAGGGCAGGCCATGGGGGAGAGGGTGAACTCAGGCCACACATGCCACAAATACAGATGGGGCTCAAAACAGTCTTGTGGGATCCACCCAGATACTGGATTTTCTTGGTTTCCTTCTCATTATGAACTTTTGCTTTACCTACATTTTGCTCCATTTTCTGATGGCTGCTTCTTCATCTACCAAATTGATAGCTTTTCCATGTTTCAGGAAAAAGCAATGTAAACACATGGACCTAAGGATCCATACTGCCCCAGTCCTGTGGTCCTTTCCCACATTCCAGAAGGTAGAAGAGAAATTGAACATGAATGTAGAGCCAGAGACATCTCCCTCAGAGATACACCTATAAAGTATTAACTGCCAATCCCTTAAGAAAATGGGCAACACAATGGTGTAAAAGAAACCTACTAAAAATATATATAAATAAATAAATAAAAGAAACCCACTGAGTTTGTCACAGTGAAAGGTAACTTCCCATTTCTATAACATGCTACAGGAACCCCAGTGGCAGTGTGGGTTAGTGTGGGGTTACCAATTGCAAGGTCAGCAGTTCAAAACCATCAGCTGCTCCAAGGGAAAAAGTCAAGGCTTCTACTCCCTTCAAGAGTTGACAGTCTTGGAAGCCCATGGGAACAGTTCTACCCTGTCGTCCTACAGGGAGGTTGTGAGTCGATGGCAGGCAGTGTGGGCTTGGGTGAGTCTGCAGTATATTCAATTGAACACGGGAGAGCAAATGCTGCTGCTGCAGACCATGTGGAAAAGCACTAACTCCTGTCTCAGTAAAACCAAATCACTACTGCAGAGGGTGTTTGTTGTCACTCACCATGCCACTAGGGTGCTGAATTCCGCATGGGAACCAAAGACAGATCACAATGTGCAAACAAGGCTTTAAGGTTCAAATCCAAGCCTGATTATAAAGCTTCAAAATGTTTGTGGAAAAATTCCACTCAGTTTTTATTTTTCATTTTCCATGGACTTTCTGAAGTCACTTCATACTTGAAGTGACTTATAACTGCATGCTCTGTTAACACCTGCTGCTTGGTTTTGCAGTTAGAGATATGACTGGCCCTAAGCCTGGTTTTAGCCATAAAGCATGAGGTTCAAACCCGCCAGCAGTTCCATGGGAGAAAGATGAGCTGTCTGCTCCTGCCAAAAGTTAGTCTCAGAAACCCACAGGGGCAGCGCTACCCTGCCTTATAAGGTCGCCGGGAGTCGGAATCAATTAGATGGCAGTGAGTTTTTAGATCTTGTTTTAAGGGCTGTCTCAAAAGTAATTAAAATTGGGGAGGGAGGGGGAAATGAGGAGCTGATGCAAAGAGCTTAAGTGGAGAGCAAATGTTTTGAGAATGATGAGGGCAACAAATGTACAAATGTGCTCTACACAATTGATGTATGTATGGATTGTGATAAGAGTTGTATGAGCCCCCAATAAAATGATTTAAAAAAAAAAGAAATCCTATAGGGCAAGATAAAAAAATTAATTAAAATTAATTTATTCTAACAGTCACACAAATGTACATGAACACACAAACCACGCAGCATTTAGAGAAAAGAGAAGGGGAGAGTCCCACGAAACGAAACTAGCAAACAAAACTCCAAAAAAGGCTGACATCAGAAAGTCTGCCACTGGACAGAATGAAACTATTCAGAGAAGGCAAGCAATACACGGTGCGTGCTGCTATACATGGAAAGAAATGGCCCTTACAAAAAGCAAAAGGCTAAACAGGAAGCATGAAGAACCAAGGGAGAACAAGATTGCACAAAAGAATGAAGCGCAGACAGCCACACAGAAGCTGACATGACATACACTGGGCTCTTCCCTCTGGCTTAAAATGAGCCCTAACTTCCACCCATGGTTCTTCTTAAGGCTCCTCATACTGCACTTCACACCGTACGCTGGGGTGGGGGTGTCAAGGAAAAGGAAACACAGAAGTAGTGATCATCTCCTTCCCAAGTATCATCGACTCTCCGGGGACCTAAGTGGCGTTAGGGGAACCTGGCAGAAAGACTGGGGTGGGAGGAGAGGCTGGCATTGCTGAAGCCACTAGACCATGGCATGGCAATATAACTGGGTGGCCTGCCAATGGGAATGAACTCTGAGTTCTACAAAGTCATCCCCAAATGCCTTGGGAGCGTCTTTTCCATGCTCTGGAGACAGGGTGAGCTTCCCTAGAGTGTGGGTGCAAACAAGACTGGATTCCTGGGGTGCAAACACAAAGAGGGCAGTGCAATAGCACCCCGTGGCCGTCCTCTCCCACTGGCGAGTTGAGTTCAGAAGGATCCAAGCACACACTGGGGCGGGGGGTTAAGACCTCTGTCTGCTGCTCTTTCCCACAGCCGAGAGCCAGAAGGACATGCGGGGGTGCCATCACCAGCACAAGACACCAGCCAAGCACACAGTGGCTGGGAAGATGACGGCAGACCCCGAGTTACCCTGTCCTGCATGGGCTGAAAGCAGGCCTGGGCCTGGGCAACTGCCTGCCCATCGGCCTGCCCTCCCTCCTTCCTTCGCTTCTCATCGTACCTGCCCACTGAAGATGTAATCCAGGATCTCTCTCATAACCATTACCGATATCCCTTCCAGTTCAATCTTATAAGTTGATCCATCATCTTTCGGAGGGTTATAGTTTAACTTTGTCCTAAGAGAGGGGAAAAATGTAAATTTTCTATGAAAGAACAGAAATAGTTACAGGTATTTATGCATTAAAGACTCTAAAATATATGACACGTAGCAGTAGATGAATCTCCCAACCTAGAAAACATTTTTTTTTAAATTAAATGTTTTTTAAAAAATCGTTTTATTGGGGGCTCTTACAACTCTTATAACATTGCATACATCAATTGTATCAAGCATATTTGTACATGTTTTTTAGATCAGTACATTTTTATTATAGCTTTCAATGACAAAACAGGTATTCCAGCTCTATTTAGGGTACTGCTTTTTCAAAAGCTGAACAAAAGAAGCCAGCTGGGAACCAGAGACCCACGTGTACATGGTATGCCTATTCACTCTGGAGATCCCATCCCCAGGAGCCTTTCTTCTGGCTCATTGACTATCAAATCATTTCCAACAATGCGACACAGCTCCCACCAAGCTGCACATACAACAAAGGCCAGGACCTTGATTGAAAACCATCAATGACTTTTCCCATCAACCCATTCTTCTGCTTACCACTCTACAGACACAATCATCCTAAATCTGTGTCCACTTTCCCCCGTGATTGGATTAGTTAAAAATAGGTATATGGGTTTCAAAATGTCCATGGAAAAATTTCACATCTTTTCATTTTTCCATGAACTTTTGGAAGTCCTCTTGATTTCCAATGTGAAGTTGCTTTTTAATCTCATAAAATTTTGGGTTAATATTTTGGGGCTAGCCTTTTGCACTCTGTAGTAGCTTGCTCTGCGTCACTCATCGCCGCACACCGCTCTTGCTCTCTGTTCCTTCTGTTGAGTAACACTCCACTTTCCGGTGGCCAAGCCGCTAGACTGGTTCCAGGTTCTGAAGAGTATCTCTCTACCTATCTGTGTGTGTGCCTCTTTTTGCACTTTGTGCCGGGATTCCTCTTGGGTAATCCTGGGATGGATTACTCCATGTCAGGAATTATTCCATTTAAGTAGTTAAGACCTGCTTGTGGCTGCCATCTGCAATGTGTCCGAGAAGCCTTGGGCCCACGTCTGGATTGGTCAAGCTTCTTGCCACTCAAAGGCAATAGAGGATCTCGGTCTCAGAGTGCTTGCGCTCGGTTTCCTTCAGCGGCCTGGCTCATGTTTGTGGCCACCTGAGCTTCCGCTTCTGTGAACATCTGCTGAAGCTGCTCGTTCATTTGTTGATGGAGATCCCTGTCCTCCTCCCACTGAGCTGTTTTGATACTTTTTTAAAAGGATAATTGATGATTTCTCATAATTAAGGCTTTTGTTTTTTGATTGAGATGGCTACTTTTACCTTGTCCAACATCTAAAAACTGTTCCCAATGCTTCCCACTAGGAAAGCCTAAGGTTTCCTCACATGATTGTGGGGGCGGGGAGGAATCTGACAAGGAGTGTGAAAACGGCTGCATGGCTTGAGGAATGTTGTCTGGTTGCGGAAATGTACACCGAGGTATTGTACGATTAGGATGAGCTCGTCTGTATATTTGCAACAAAAAAGAAGGTACTTTTAAAACTTAAGGTTTTCAATTGTTTCTGAAACCTTTGTGACTCAGTTCTCCTATTTTTAGCTCATTTGTCTTCCCGGGTCCTCCTCTTGCACAACTCAGTAAGACCTTCCCTCAGCCCAGTGGAAGGTTACGTGGTCAGGGGCTAGCAGGCACATTTCAGGGTAGGTGCATTGAACCAAAACAGAATGAATGAATGTTTATACCCTGGATGCTAAGACCATCAGTCTTTGCTCCTCAAATGTTAGAAGCCAGACTGACCATCAGGGAATTAGAAGAGCCTTCTGGGACATTTGACCAGCCCAAGAGAATCCCCTACCCCCCCCACCCCAACATCAACCTGCTCCCAGGAAAGGAGTCAGCTTGGTTGGGCTATAGTGAAACCCACACCAGGCAGTGGAAGTTACAGACTCCCCAGCTCCCAGTGTCTCTCAGCAAAGCACTGGGGAAAGGGTGTGACACTGCATGCTGCACTTGGATGAGAGGGATGAGGCTGGTGTAAGCCAGGGGAAAGCAGAGGTCCAGCCTCCCTGGATGCTGCCCGGTCACTCTGAAGGCTGGCTCACCACCCCTTCCCACCCCTGCAACATCCTGGGGTGGGGCGACGTTGAGCTCGAGCTCCTCTCTTACAACTGGGCAAGCAAGAACCAACAGCTAGCCTGGTACCCAAGTAAAGAAACCAAAGTCAGAAACCAAAACAAACAGAAAAAGAGCAATTTAGAAGAAACAGTGATTATGCAAAATCAAAAGGAAAACAGGCAACTTTCTCCTACTACTCCCAGAGAGAATAGAGAGGCTATGATACTTAATAAAACAAGAACACTTACTGCTGTCAAGCGGATTCCAACTCTGAGTGACCCTATACACAGAGTAGAACCACCCAGTTTCCAAGGCTGTAAACCTTCACAGAAGCGGACGGCCTAGTTGTGGCGAACTGACCTTTTGCCACCAGCTAAGTGCTTCAGCACTGCACCATCGAGGTTCCTACAACAGGATGCTACAAAATAGGTGCATTCTAACAACCACTTTAATGGCTGAAGATTTTTTTTTTAATGCAATAGAAGGATGATATAAAAAGTTGAAGAAACATTCCAGGAGAAGGCAAGAGACAGGGGAAAATAGGAGAGTCAAGTTAGGACAGTGGAAGGGCAGTCAACAAGAAGAAGGCCCTCCAGGAGATGAACCGACAGTGGGCTCACGACGAAGGACCACTGTGAGGACTTCCCTCTGCTCCTTCTGTTGTGCAAAGAGGTCACACAGGATGGAACGGGCTCGGTGGCACCTAACAACAACATGTGAAGAGAAGGGGACAATTCCCCAGCGGGGTGCACACTGAAAACAAGGACATCCACATGAGTGTGCGAGAAGATGACTAAGGACGTGGCCTTGGCGGCGGGCGGAAGACTGCTCAGTGCGCTCCATGACCCACCATGACGCTGGAGGCTCTCTCTCTTCCTCTCACTGGAGCTTTAAAGAGCCATCTGAACGGCGTGATGAGCCAGCAGCTCAAATGCAGAAGTTTCCAGAAAGACAAACGGGCTGCATACATAGAAAGGAGCAGGGATCAGGACAGTTTCATACTTCTCTATGACCATTAAGGGTCAGGGAAAGACACTTCCAAATTCTGTGGCACTGATGGCCTTTCAGGGGTGGGGAGATAGGAGCTCAGCACCTGGTAGCCCTGCTACCCTGCAACTTAGTACCAGAAAGATGCCCACTCACGAGGAGCTCAGAGGAAAGCCACGGGCACCTGCAGGCAGAGAGAGGACCTCAGCTTGACCTCGGTTGGCCCTGAAGCCAAAGGACCATTAATCTAACACCAAATAGTTTTGTGTTGTCCCCAGTGGTCACTCGTAGTTGGGAAGGTGGAAGCCATCCTCCATGTCCAATCCTGGGTCCAGAGTACAGCCAGCAAGTCAAGATATACACAGTGCACAGCAAATGCAGGACAACCTTCCTCTCACCCAACCCATGGCCACCAGTGAACAATCCAACAGACAAGGCAAGTGCAGCGGGCAGATGCCGAGTCTCCACTTGATGTGACATGTGTCACTGTTGGAGCTTTAAAGAGCAGTCTGAATGGTGTGATGAGCCCGAACTCAAATGCAGAGTGAGCACCGGAAAGGAGAGGCACGTTCCAGGAAGCCTGGCTGCAGAGGAAAGGAAACCAGACCCTTGCTAGAAGATGATGCGCAGTCCATTTGCTTTTAGCAGATGCAGCCACTCAACACTGCTGCTCTTGCTCCTGGGAGAGACACTATGCCGACTCCTGTGCTTGGGAATGGGGTGGGGGAGAGGATCCAAGGGAACGAAATGTCCAGACAAGGTCCCAGGATGAAACCGGATAATCCTGGGGAAGGGAAGGGGAAGCTGGACTGGTGGTCAGTGCTGCAGCAGAGGGGTTAGCCTTGAATAGTGGTCCATCTGGGGAGGGGAGAGTTGATCCAGTGGTGGGACTCAAATAATTTAACAACCCTCATGACTGTGTTAAGTATTAAAAAACCCAATATAGCAAAAGGCCATTTATTATTTCATACAGTTAATAAATAAGAACAACAAAAGAGGTATACAAAATTAATTATAAGAGATTAATGAAAAATTACTAAAAACCTGACAAAAATCGATACAACTGTCATTTAAGATATTTCCATATTGTTTCTTGATTGGCATTCTCACTTGTAATATTCTTGGCTTTTAGCTGAGCATCACAGGCTCTATGATTTATCCTTAACCATCTTTTCATTGCAGGAGTGGAATCCCATTCCTTTGGAGGTAGACCAATTAGACAATAGTCATTGTGCTTGATATATTAGAAACTGGCGACCTCTCTTTTGAAAGCAGGTGACCTGCTATGCAGATCTTAATTTACTTTTTTTTGTCTTTCACAGTCTTAACACCATTGTCTCATCACTTTTGCAAGTGATCTCTCATTTTTGCTTCTTGTTTCCTGTTTGTTAGGCTGGAGTTGAAAATGTGTATAGATAGAAACACCTAAAGCCGGTTGGTGCAGCCCGCCGTGGGGCTCTGTGGGCTGTGTATGGTCTGCCATGCATTATCTGTTGCTTTTAACTATGCATTAAAAAGATGCAACTCAAAAAAAAAAAAAAAGATGCAACTCGTGCTGAGCTCCCAGGCTGAGACAAAAACAAGTTATGTATCTTAGTTCAGAACTTCTGATCCAGAGCCTTCGGTTTTCAAATTGGACCCATGAACTGTAAAATCACTTTACTGCGGTACACATGGAATTAGTGATTATTTACATGCAGTCTTGAAGGGCCAAGATGGACCACCGATCAAGGTTAACCCAGCAGTGTGATTCAACTGGTTCGCACTGGCTCAACAGAACCGACCGCTACAGAACCGACCGCTAGTTTCTTGTTGAGTTTGGAGAATCGCTGTTTGAGTGGCACTTGTAATCAGGGTTCTCTCTCAGGTGGATAAAGCGAGAGATCACTGGCAAAAGTCACCTGGTTTCATGTAAGGAGCATAACAATCCAGTTTCTGACCTGGGAAACCTGACGAGGGTTTACTTACTCTGCCTGCCCCCTTCTCCCCCCAAAGAGAGAAAAGAAACCCTAAACACCCTCTGACCTGTCTGGGGCACCCCTAATCAGAACACAGGCCTGGAGATTACATGGTCAGAGGGGACTGAGGTAAACACCCTCTGACCTGTCTGGGGCACCCTTAATCAGAACACAGCCCTGGAGATTATAACGTGAGAGGGGATGATAAAGCAACTGATAGTGAAGCTCTATGCGATGTGATGGCAGAGAGCTATTTGAAATGACATCATGGCCGGCCACAGAGTAAACTCGACGGGCACAGGAACAGCAATGAC